GACAGCCCCTCGTGGGGATCAATTAGATACATCTATGTCAAGTGAGCAGGCTGCTACTCATTAGAACTAAGACTTGGTACACTACTTTATATCAGCTGCTAGCTACTGTGACATAAAAAGTACAAAATAAAAAACATACTTACAGCAGGAGAATTTCTTTCATATTAACCTTCCTTTGTTCTTCACACCGGGGTCTTGACTCTAACAATTTTCTTGAATTTGAAAGTTTGTATCTTTGCCTAATAATGTTTTCTACTTAGGAAAGTTTTGATTTTTCTAGTTGTTAAGTATTGCACTAAAATCGTGTTTTTCTTAATATTTTGGCCCCATCATTCTTTTATATCTTCAAAATAGAACCTATAGTAAATTAAACAACATAACATGTTCTCTAGATACATAATTTCTGCATCTACATTCTTATTGACCTGCAAAGAGTTTCAATTAATCTTTATTTACTTTTTATTTTGCTGCAAACTTCAATATTTTTTCAGTGACTGCCCATATTTTTTAAAAAACTGTAAATCTATTCATCAGGCATCTTCTGCTTTTATAATTATGAACATGTGCTTCAGAAATAAAATACTGATAAATAATGTTAGAATAATACATCATAGTTACCAAGGCAGCAGATTCTGGAGAATACCTCAACAAATATTTTCTCTCTGTGTGTGTGTGTGTGTGTGTGTGTGTGTGTGTGTGCGCGCGTGCATGCAAGTGCATCTAGCCCTATAAATCATATTTGGTTTTCTGGAACCTAACTGGAATTGAATCATGTTGTCATATGTACATGTAAAACAATAGTTTCAATCCAGTGAGCAAACTGGTTAGCATTCAGCCTGAAATGTAGGGGTGCTCAATAATTGTTATACTTATTTCTTTTTAAAAGATAGATGAGCTTTTATTAGAGTTCTCTCCTGATTATAGATTCTCTTCAAGAAGAAAAGCATTTTTATGGACTGAATGTTTATGTTTCCCCAAAATTCCTGTGTTGAAATTCTAATGTCTAATATATGATATTTCGATATGGGGCTTTGTGGGGGTAATGAGGTCCTGAGGGTGAAGCCTTCATAAATAGGATTAGTGTCCTTCTAACAAAAAACCCAGACAGCTCTCTTTCTTTTTCTGCTGTGTGGATACAAGGACATGACTTTCTGTTAAATAGAAAGCAGGCCCTTATTAAACACTGGATCTCTTGGCACATTGATTATAAGCTTTCCAGTTTTGAGAAACAAGAGACATATATGTCTGTTGCTGAAGCTACTCCATCTACAGTAATTTCTTATAGCAGCCTTAAGTGACTATAACAGAAGTTGCTACCAAGCAGTAGGGGTGCAGCTATAAAAAATACCTAAAAATGTAGAAGTAACTATGAAACTGGGTAATGGGTACGGGCCGGAAGAGTTTTGAAGTGCTAAAATTATGAATGTTTAAAAATATTGTGTAAAGGGCACAGACAACTATAGAGAAAGATTCTGTCTTCTTAAAGAACATCTAAACAATCAGAAACAGAACGTTGGTAGAAACATGGAGAGTAAAAGCCATTCTGATGTGTTATCAGAGAAAAGTGAAGACATGCCATTAGAAACTGTAGGAAAGGTAATATTTGTCATAAAGTGACAAAGAACACAGGTGGATGGTGTTCATGTTCTAGTATTTCATGGAAAAAAGGACTTTTGAGTAGTGAAATTAGATATTTAGCTGAGGAGATCATTTAAGCAAAGTGTGAAAGGAGTAGCTTTGTTCCTCACAACTGCTTACAGTAAAACCTGAAAGAAAAGAAATTAAATAAAGATGAAATTTTTAATCAAAAAGAAATGAAAGCTTAAAGACTTGGAAATATCTCAACCTGTCCATGTTCCAAAATAATGAGAAAATGTGTTTAGAAGAGATTAAGGGATGATAGATCAATTACTTAATAAGAAGGTTTGTATAGGTGTAAACCATGAACTTCATCCACTATTTCAAAAAAGCCAGGAAAATAGATGAGATTATAATAGAAGAAACACTGCCGGCTGGTACTAAAGAACATAAAGAAATGTGGTAAAATGAAAGAAGACCATCAGACTTCTTCAGCTCTATGAAATAGCATAGAGCTCTTCAGCTATGAGCATGCATACTTCTCCAAATCAAAGGAAGAATTCCAAATCACCCAAATAAGCCTTGATGTCACCAGGCTTGTGGAATGGCTGCTTCCATAATGATTTCTAACATTGAGATCAATGCCTAGAGGTGACATTGGGATAATGTTGCCCAATGGAGCTCTGAGGGTGTGATCACTGCACGAGTGAGGCCACTGCAGAGAGCCACAGCACAAGTGATGGCCTCTGAGATGGGGTGGTTATGTTGCCACCTTAATGAGTCCAAAAATGGAACATCCATTCTAGTGGACCTGCAAGGTGAAGAGTTGAGCTACAGAAAGTTTATGTTTTGAGACTAAGGTTTTTCTTTTTTTTTAATTGCATTTCAGGTTTTGGGGTACATGTGAAGAACATGCAAGATTGCTGCATAGGTACACACGTGGCAGTGTGATTTGCTGCCTTCCCCCTCTTCACCTATATCTGGCATTTCTCCTCATGCTATCTCTCCCCAACTCCCCGCCCCCCCGTCCCTCCCCTTTTCCCCCCAACAGACCCCAGTGTGTAGTGCTCCCCTCCCTGTGTCCATGTGTTCTCATTGTTCAACACCCACCTATGTGTCCTTTGTAGGGACATGGATGAACCTGGAAACCATCATTCTCAGCAAACTGACACAAGAGCAGAAAATCAAACACCGCATGTTCTCACTTATAGGAGAATAAGGTTTAACCGAGTTTGAGTTATGCTTGAGACCAAAGTTTAATGGAGTTTGCCCCATTAGGTTTTAGACTTACATTGGACCTCTCACACCTCTATTCTTTCCTCTTTCTCTCTCGGAATAGGAATATCTTCACCATTGTATTTTGGAAACACATAACTTACCTGGTTTCACAGCTTCACAGCTGGAGAGGAATTTGGCCTCCGTATAAATTGTACCTTTTGTCTCACATTTGTTTGGTTTAGATATATTTAGATGACACTTTGGATTTGAGTTCATATTGGAAGAAGTTGGGAATTTTGGGGCTCTGAGGATGGATGCATTTTGCATGTAGGAAAGACATAAATTTGGGGTGGGCAGAATTAGAATAGTATGAGCTGATATGTATCCCCCAAAATTCACATCTTGCAATCCTAAACCTTAATGTGGTAGTATTAAAAGATGGGGCATTTGGAAGGTAATTAGTTCATCAGGATGGAGCCCTCAGAAAGTTATTTTTACCATTACAAAAGGGGCTCTAGAGAGAGCTCTGTTTCTCTTTCTCCAGTGTCTGGATACGAGGAGAAGATGACCACCTGCTGAAAAGAAAGCAGGTCCTCATCAGATGCCGGATCTGATGGTCCATTGATCTTGGACTTTCTGGCCTCCAGAACTATGTTTGTTGCTTAAGTCACCCAGTGACATGGTTTGGCTCTGTGTCCCCAACAAAACTTCATTTTAAATTGGAATCCATATATGTGAGGGAGGGTCCTGGTAGGAGATGATTGGCTCATGGGGGTGGTTGCCCCATGCTTTTCTCATGATAGTGAGTGAGTTCTCACAAGATCTGATTGTTTTATAAGGGTTTGACAGTTCCTTTTTCACTCATTGTCTCTTGCCTGCTGCCATGTTAGATGCACTTGCTTCCTCTTTCGCCATGATTGTAAGCTTCCCAAGGCTTCCCTAGCCATGTAGAACTGTGAGTCAATTAGACCTCTTTGCTTTATAGATTACCCAGTCTCAGCGCAGTTATTTATAGCAGTGTGAAAACAGACTAATACATCCAGTATGTGTTAATGGATTATAGCAACTAGAACTGATTGAGGCAGTATTCGTGTAATTACAGGTGATGGAGTCAGATAAATCCAAACAGCAAGTTACGTATGCTGTCAAGCCACTTTCTGAGATTTCACTATATGCAATTATTGTGTTAAGGATACCAGTGAATACGCGATCCATTGTTTTAATCTTTACTTACCACATGGTGTAAAATCTTACAAGATATTTGTCTGTTGTATGTCAATAGAATAGAGTGTTTTTGCTTTAAAAACCTACTTAATATTTTCTTATTTTGGTTCTTGCCTACTAAGCTTCAATTATTTAGACATAGAAGATTCAGGGACAAATCTCATACTTGTTTTTTATTTGGTTTCCCAGCAGCTGTAGATATGTGGTAGAAAATTCAAGTGTACAATGGAATGAATGGGAAAAAAAATTATCCAAACATACTTCTAGGTCAATGTATAAGTGAGGAAAAGGGAAATTGTATTATGTCTTGATAATACTAGAGGAATGTATTTGTGGAGAGACAGAGAGGGAGACAGATGAGCAGGTAGCAGCTCTTTGCAAAGTGTGTGCTTTCAGCAATTCCATAAATTCATTTTACCTTAGGACTGACTAACTGTGCCTCTACTCCTTTCGCCTTGAACCCAGCACACACGTTTATCACACTGGAAAAATGACATGCAAATTGCAAAGGTTGCAGCTAACTTTTTCAAACACTAACTTTGGGTAAGGGGACAGAAATTTTAGAGTAATTAAAAATGTATTAATATGTATTATACTCTAGGTACTTCCAAAGTATCTTAATATCGCTAATTATGAGAATCATTCTCTAAAAGGTTATATTATTAAATCCTGATTATACATGGAGAGTTGAGTATTTGTTACCTTGAGTGGCATGAGAATCAGACCACTAGTGGTTATAAAGCACCACTAGTAACTGTTGCAATCCTTAATCATGTTTTTTTTTGTTTGTTTTTTGTTTTTCCAAATCCTATGTCATTTCATCTGTTTTGATGTAAAGTCATTATGTTTCCAAGCATCATATTCTATAATTAGATCATCATGCATTTTCGGACAGAGAGTTTTTGTTGTTGATGTTGTTCTTTTTTTTTTTTTTTTTTTTTTTTCTGTAAAACAGAAAAGAAAACGTTTCTTTTTCTCACCTAACAGCACTGCTGCCTACATCCAGGTCCTGAGCAGTGACAGCTCCAATGATCGTCCCTACCGGAGTGTCTTCGTACACCTCCATGGTGTAGAGCGGCTTGCTGAAAACCGGCGGCTCATCGACGTCCAGCACGCTGATCTTCACCGTAGCTGTGTCTTTAAAAGGCCCCGCCGAATGAAACCGGTGGTCAAGGTGAAGGTTGGAAGCCTCAACTTTGAAAGTGTATGCCTTCTTTGTTTCAAAATCTAAAGGCTGTAGTGAGGACAAATTAAGAATAAGGAGTACATTTATATAGAATGTAGCAGAAATGTTGAACATTACTTCAGAGCAATTTGCAAGTTATTACCAATTGTACTGGTTTAAAATTTTCATTTTCCTTCATAATTAGTGGGTAAGGGCAGTACAAGGCAAATTTTTTTTTTTTTTTTTTTTTTAGATGGAGTCTTGCTTTCTGCCCAGGCTGGAGTGCAGTGGCCTGATCTTGGCTCACTGCAACCTCTGCCTTCCAGGTTCAAGCAATTCTCCTTCCTCAGCCTCCTGAGTAGCTGGGATTACAGGCACGCGCAACCATGCCCGGATAATTTTTGTGTTTTTAGTAGAGGAGGGGTTTTACCATGTTGGCCAGGATGGTCTCTAATTCCTGACCTCAGGTGATCCGCCCACCTCGGCCTCCCAATGTGCTGGGATTACAGGCACAAGGAAAACATTTTATGAAAGAATCACCCTCATATAGAAGTTTCTGGGTAACTTGTGAAGATCATCGGTTGCATATGTTAAGAAAAAAAATCTCATCATTTACATGCAGACATACATGCAGGTAGGGTTTAATCATTTTATATGAACGTTAAAACAGCAAGAGACCAGATGTCCAGAGAAGCATGTCTCTGCTCTTATCCAATACTGACACCTAGTGGAAGAAAGCAATGATAAACAAAAAACTGAATAAAAATGAAGATAGCTGAAGGTATTCTAGGTTCTAGCTGCAAATTTGGTATGAAAAGTGGTCCCATGAAAACAAAATATGGAATTTTCATGGGACCAGTTTTCTTATTTTGATAATAGTGGCATTCTGTATTAAATACTTTTGAATGTGTAAGTCTTTTTCTACTAGTGAAGGCCTGTATCAATATTTAAAAGCATGCATAGTGCTAATTACAAAAAGAGTTGTGGTTTTGTGTTCTCAGAACTGTATATATAAAGTGTGGGCAGTGTCATGCATCATCAATACACATTACCAAGACTAGTGGCTTTAAATATTAATATATATGACCACAATGCAGCAGGCTGTGAAACGCAATACAGGAAGTCATTGTCTCTGAAGTCACAGATGCTCCATTTTAGCTTTTCACTGTTTACATTCGCACGAACTGTAAATGTTAATTTTATGTTCGCAATAGCTGAAAATATACTATTCCTGAATATGGTGCTGCTGAGGTGCTTTAAGTGATGATTTTAAGGTCAATACCTCTGGCCTTGGGCCTCTGATCATCTAAGAAAATCTGAGACAACACAGATTTAACATTAACCCAGTGATTTTCTGGGACCTTTAAAAATATCAGTCTGACTCCAATAAGTTGCTAACTGATGTGTGAACACCTGTTCCTTTACTACAGCACACCTGGGAAAATGAAGGGTATTTTTCTCCTTCAAAGATATGATTGCTATTTTATGCATTTCCTCTGAGCAACAGAAACCAAAAGAAAAAAAATCAATTTTAAATCTTCAAAAACTCTCACAATGTCATGGAATTTATTATAACAAAACAGCAATTTCACTTGAATATAACGTCGTCTCTTTTGCCTTATTTTTTTTTATGCAGCAGGAACTATATTTATTAATTTCCTATAGTTATTCCTTCAATTTAATTTAATTTATTCTATTTTTATTCATGTGTTTACCAGCTTTGTAATCAATGCTTTCTTTACTTTTCTATATGGTTATTTGCTCACCTCATGCTGTTAACTTATAATATTGATTTCCCTCCATTTTCACGGTTCTCCTGTTAGAAATTTTGATTCCTCTTAATACCAATATAAGTAAAGAATAGTATACATAATATGTGATGGTGACTAATATGGTCTTTGATTACATGAATAGAAGTGTAACACCTGAAAAAAGAGAGAGGATTGCCCAACGATGCTTCTTTGATCAGCATGAAGCTTGAATACTGTTTTGTTAAAGAAATTATACTCAAGAAAAGACAACTCGTTGTGAGACTAGAATAATGAAACATCACGGAAGCCAAAGATAAGAAATGACTACAATGACTGAAGATGTTTAGCTGGAATGAAGAAGACCAAGGCAAGGAAACGCACAGATTTTCAAATATTTGAAAGGCCATTATTTTGCCATGACCTAGGATTATTATTATTATTATTATTATTTTTTTTGAGGCGGAGTTTCGCTCTTGTTACCCAGGCTGGAGTGCAATGGCGCGATCTCGGCTCACCGCAACCTCTGCCCCCCGGGTTCAAGCAATTCTCCTGCCTCAGCCTCCTGAGTAGCTGGGACTACAAGCGTACGCCACCATGCCCAGCTAATTTTTGTATTTTTAGTAGAGACGGGGTGTCACCATGTTGACCAGGATGGTCTCGATCTCTTGACCTCGTGATCCACCTGCCTCGGCCTCCCAAAGTGAGGATTATTTTTTATGTCTCTGAGTGGTGAATTAATAGTAAGATGAATTGTTAATAAGAGTAACTTTAGGTTAGAAAAAGGAGGAAACCTCTAATAAATACAATCATTCTACAGGGAATTAAAGAAAATACATACACATACAGACACACACACACACACACACACACACACACACACACACGTAGATGTTTTACGTGGTGGCAAGGCTTAGGATACATCCTGTAAGGATGGAAAGACGAAAAGATAAATAAGACATGCCTCTCAATTCATTCAACAAATTAAAGAATATTGTCATCTTGCTTAATGAATGAGTTAGAAGTACCAAGTTCTCTATAACTACGTGTGTTTAAGAGAAATTGAATGTTAGAAGATGTCTGAGAGAGAATGATATATAAAATAGAAGAGTGCACTAGCTAATTCAAATTAAGGAATATATAAAAGTGTATTTTCTGTTTTTGCAAACTTTAAATACTCTGTAAGTGTTAAACAACGTAAGTTTTCTATGATGGATATCCCTAAGTTGTAGTATAAAACAACTTTGATTTTATCACCTTAGGGTTCCTTTTGCCTAGAAAGCAAATTGAGCTGACCTGGTTCACACTAACTCCCTTTTTTAGGCAAAAATTAACTTCTATCTTAGAATGTAAAAGTTAATACCAATCATTCCCCATTTGCCTCTCTACTTTCTCATATGTTGAAATATTTCTAGTTATCTACATGATTTGTGAAATTCTTTCTAGATAAGATTGTAATTTTTTTTCCCTACTTGATTACACACTACCGCTATTTGGATAATCTTGACTCTCTTCAGGTAACTCCTTTTCAAGCGAGACATGAAGGGAGAATTTTGAAACCTTTTCTATTTTTTTAAAGGAGATGAGATGTGTTTCATGCCTTTTAAGAACTCCTGACCTATTACAGCAGGGAAATATCGGGTTGTCAGGGAGACAGAATGAGATAAAAGAATTCTTCAGTACATACAGATTTTTTCCAACTGAAAACTTATAGTCTGTAGTAATCAAAGAACTAAAGAAAATTGTAAGAGAAACGTCACAATAGTTTCCTAGGTGGACTTCTTCGTGAACCTGACCTTTAGGCAATTCCACTGTACAAAATGGTATAGAGCTCAGAAAGGACCAAGAGAATCAGCATGATCTCTCTCTGACTTTATTCACACATCTGACTACTCTCCATTGTTGGGCGGAATGAACTTTAGTTTTACAATCAATAAAAATCTCAGCATTCAAAATAAATATAGAATAAACGATTCTTTTCAGTACTAGAAAATGAATCACATTCTAAGATAGGCACATATTATTGTGAAATTGAACTAATTTCTCTCCTGTACGAGAAATAGAAAACTTTGTGGCATTGCTTGGAGCCCATTTAATGGTTATGAACGTTTCTAAGGGGAAGAAATCACTGATTAAAGATAATTTAGTTGAGCAGCTTCTTTCTCTTTAGGTTGTTTCCGTAAGGGAAGATTACACCAGACACCAGAATGTTCAGGAAACATTGCACCTTATAGAGTTGTGTAGTAAGAAACCACAGCTATAGAGACATGAAATATATATATTCAGTTGTTCTCCAGAGACTCAAGGGGGGAATTGGGCAAGGGGAAAATTCTGCTTCTTTGTTCACTGCTACTGAAGGAAATAAAAATATTTCATCCCCAAATATATTTCTCTGGCATATTTTAAAATGTCTGCCACAGGGTCAAAAATATAAGTGGCCTTGCAAAGCTGCCCTTTGTGGGAGAAAATTTGCATCTGTAAAGAATCCCCATTAATGCAGGCAGGCCTTTTCTTTGCCTTTCCCAGATCTAGGAGCCAATGAGAGCCTGACAACTTTAAGAGTCTGAAATAAATAATTATCATCTATTCTCTCTGAGGGAGGTTTCATTTACATAACAAGTGGCTTTGCTAGTCAAACCACTTCCTTTCTCCCTCTCATAAGCTTTCTTACCACTAAACCTGATGTACCAAGACAACCTGGTTTTGTCCGTGCTCTGGACCACCTTTTTTTTTTTTGAGTTGGAGTTTCGCTCTTGTTGCCCAGGCTGGAGTACAATGACACAATCTCAGCTCACCACAAACTCCACCTCCCAGGTTCAAGCAATTCTACAGTGGTTATGTTGATTTGGGGCTAACAGTTGTTGAGGCTGTTTAGGGAAGCTAGGTAAGGTATTTTATAAAGAAGATAAAGACAAATGTTTAGAAAAACAGGAACATAATATTTATAGAAACAACAGCATGTACATGGTTTTTTAAATTAGGTACGTTAGTGTGGCTAAAAATAGGAGTATTTTAAACTTAAACTAAGGCATGTATGTTTGGCTGTCTAAAATATTCCAAATTTTATTATCATTTTGTTCTTAAGAGTTATTCGAAAATCAACCACATGATGGTGCTATGGTACCAAAACATATAACGTGAATTCTCATTTGTTAAAGACTGAAAAAAGAAAATGAGTTTTGCTGATTAATGGGTAATTATAAAGTGTATATGCTCAGTGGGCCCAATTGGCACCTTAGCCTATTTGTTAAAAGCCTCCTTGTGAAGAATAATATCATTTATCTCATATGTTTTTAAGGGAAAAAAACAAATTCATCTTTG